GGGAGCACAAGAAATGTCTCATCATCCCAGTGCTTCTCAGTGCAAGAATCACTGAGGAGCCTCCATCCAGATGGGCCAGGGACAAGCACCATCTCTCTCCTGAGCAGATGAGGAAGAGTACTAAACTGCACCAGCTCAAAGACTTAAAAAGAGCAAAAAATAAACCAGAGTACAACCTCTAGGAGACATAACAGAAGGCTTCTAGTCTTCTTTATGATCCCAAGTTTGGCAAGTATCAGGCACTTTTAAGGGTATTACACCCAAAGAGATATCTACTAATGAATTTAGTCTTAAAATACATAAAGTAAGGCATTTTAGATGGAATACTATTGTACAAACAGAACATTTGTAAATACAGTACAACATCAAATAGACTCCCATTAAGACAGCTATATGTAATTTTTAAAACTCATTTTAAAGCCATTCCAAAAATATGATAATGTTATGCTCTATTATGATAATGCAGTGTCCTGCTATTATATGACTAAAAGGCAAACATATACACAGACATTTAGAATAATGATACATTAATGGTTTCACATGCTATATACTGTTGTGATCACATAGTGCATATTTTCCACTCTTTTCAAGAGTCCTTTTCATAACTGCTGGGAGGCAGTAAACTAGGTATTTGTAATACTGTGTTCTAAATTTAAAAATCTATTTTTGATCCAAATTGATATTTACATTTTTTAAAAATTTAACTGGATACAAATGAGTTTTAATTTTTGCCCCCCAACCAGTTCTGAGGAAAAAATACATTCATCTGAGACCTTGTATAGCATACTTAAACCCAGAGCAAATTTTTATGTTCAAGATATAAACCCTAGAAAAGATTAATTTATAATTAAAACATTGACAGGCATTTAACCATAGCTGTATGGATGGTTTATGCTGTACAATATCAGTCTTACTTTTATTTTCTTTTGGACCATGTGAACAGACATCTGGAGTAGTACATCTCTGGTGATACACATTACAGAAAACTGTGGGGAAGTTATAATATACATTATAGAAATTATATCTCTGCACATAGAAACAGACAATATGAAATGTTTAGTCATACTCAAGTCACACAAAGTTTGACAGCAACCTCAATACTTTGAACCCACAAGACTAATGTCTTTACTAGATTTTGGTTGTTAAAGCCGTATCTGGCAAGCAGTATGCACACAGATACTTCATTGACATGAGCAGTTTGAGAGTTCAGAGGAACAAATGCATACAAATAATTAATGTATGCAAATGTTTTCAAGATCTGCTTCTAAAAGTAATTATTTATGTTAACAGATTACTGCTAAAAATCTAATTGTGAGACCCAGTAATTTTCTATTCAAGATTAAATTCAATTTTATGAAAAGACATTATATTAAAACTTAGAATTAACAAAGATTTAATAAAAGAATGAGAAACCATACTATAGATATTTACTTAATAAAGACTTACACCATATGCCCAAGACCATCGTCATACAGATGCATTGTAGTTTAGTCTAATGCTAGAAAAGTACGGTTTCCTACTAGTGGTTATTTGAGCAATTAAACACTACACAACAATTTAATATTACCCAGGACTTTATTATAAGGAAAAAAAACCCAACCCTAAGTCTACCCCTATAATTTTTTCATCATTACTTTTACTTAATTTTACAAGCAGCATAATTTTCTTTGATCTACAGGAGAGGAAAATCCAATTTATCACATGCAAAAAATGTGATGTAAGCAGCACAACATTCAAAGTGTTAAAGAAATAAAGGGTCTTTTTAAGAAATGAGAACCTATAATAATTAGAAGACACAGCAAAGCAATATAAGCTATCTTTTTAGGTTATAGCTTGGTGGTCTGCTTCAGAAAACATATGTACATGGAATTTGCATAATCATGACTTGCATCAGTTGCTTCTTAGCATGCATAAAGCAGATGAAGTAGATTTTATACTAAAAGTTTGGTGGGGATTTTTGTAATTTTGACATGGGCTTTTTTTAAAGACTTAATTTCTGTGAATTAAATGCTGGCAGGTGCTCAGTGCATCCTACATTTCCAAAGAAATTCAGAGCATTCAACTCTAATAAAGTGGGCTCAAGGAGCGACACTTGTGTGTCACACAACAGATACAATGTAGCTGTAGTCATCACTGAAAATGAAGAAACCCTGAACCAATGTGATGGTAGTTTGAATACGGGCGAAGGTTTTGCTTTTTTCCCAGTATTCTTGCTTTTCTTAAAATACTTGTAAATGTTCCTAAGGTCTCAGGGTGTAATTTCTGTATGAATGACTCCTAGACAGGAAGCTTTTCTGGGTGTGCAGAACAGCAGAACAGCGAATGCCTAGTGCCATCTACTGGGAGCGCCTGCTCCTGCTCAGACTTGCCATCTTGTCTACAAAAATGTTATGGGCAAACAGTGCACTAGGTGAGCACACATTGAAACGTTTAGTCCTAACTTCAGAAAAAAAAAAAAAATTAAAAATACAATTTGGAAGAACAGATCTACACCCCAAGTGCTAATATACAAACAGAAAAAGAACAAGTAAAAACACTTCACTAGTACAAGTGAAACTCACAAATGCTTACAAAATAGTAGTTCAAAGAAAGCACAGGTCATTTCTATTCTAAGATACGTCCCAATAGTATTTAATTAATTTAATGGGGAGTGGGGGAGGGGGAGGAGAAAAAACTCCTCTTTTTTCTGGTCTACAACTATATATTAAATATAAATTATGTATTGCCTTGTGTTACTGTGTTCCTTACAGGAAGGATAGAGGTACAGTTCCAAGCATAGAAATTGAAACAATACTTTCATTCAAGCCCTTATCCTGAAAATATTTAACTGCATAGTGTTTAAAACACTGTTTGAAAGCCCAGTTTACTGTTCTGACTGCACTTTCCTTCCTTACTTTGAGCATGGGCTCCAGAAGGTTAAAAAATCTCATTCCATATTGAATTTGCCACTGAATTAGAAGGTGGCCAAGCTCCACAAAGTCCCAGACTTGGTGGACACATGGCATGGTGGTATGGTTACAGGACTGCAATTCACACAAACTGGATGGTGGGAAAAGCACTAGCTCAAAGTGTTATGTTATGAAAACTCAGGAGTACTTGGATGTTTTCTGTATATTCAGAAGCCAAAGTCAGGGCAAAATGTGGCATTTAAGCAGAAGTTGGCTCTACATTTCCTTCCCATGTTTTATTGGATACATGCTATGCCATTTACTTGCAACCCCTTAAATACACCACACACATAAAAAAAACAAACCAAAGGCAAAGCAAGCCTATATTAATTTTTAAGCATCTGGGGAATTTAGATTACTCTTAAAATATGTGAGATATGTGATTGTATATTATTCCACTGTTAGCAGATGAATTTGGGCTTACTATATATAAATATCTCTCTCTATATATCTCTATAAGGTAGTTGGTCAGTGGAACTCAATCTATTAATGGTCCCACAGTTAGGGATCTAAGGGATGGGAATAAACAGTAGTGATAACTTTTTATTGCAAAATGTGACTACTGGGTTATGACAGAAAAATGACTTGATAAAACAGATAATGCAGTGCTTTGGAAACAGGTACGGAACAGCAAAACCTCCCGTGGTGTTTCTGTGTGTTTCTAGTGATCAGCTTGCACATCTCCTTTTCAGAGTGAAAACAAAATGGCCAGAAGGCTGAGTGTCCCCATGTTAAGGTAGACAACAGCAATATGAGCACACATCAAAAGGAGCATAATGATGGCTAAGGAAATTTGCTTACTCTATATTTTTAGGATTTTAAATCTGGCTCAGCAGCAAATATAACAGGAAACCAAGGTCACGCTGACACAATGTGGGTTATTCTCTCTCTTCCTCAATGTGTGTTTGCAGTTCCTATCAAGGTTAATGCGAGTTTTGTGCACATGTGGGGGAAATGGAACGTAAATGCTGCACAAATTGGACTCAGATATAGTTCAAATAAAGTCTAATAAGCTTTAGGAAAATCCATCAGCTTGAAAACTGATGTCTTATCACTGAAAAAAAATCTTTAAAACATCACCTCCACATGCTTGCTAAGTCCAGGTCTGGGAGAAACTGCTTATAACATTCTGCACTCTTATGAACCAGTTGAGTGTAGCACAAACACCCAACCTGGCCCATTTTTGAGGCTTAACAGAGATCAGCCAGGACTGTATCTTTTTTATTTGGGCGTCAAGAAAATTTCTAGTAATGTTCAAAATTAACTCAGTACAGCTTATATTTTCTCCCACATAACCCTGTACACTGACATTATTATGCTTTCATTACAGACTGTTGCCTTTTAAGTGAAACACAAAATACTTAGGTTCAAGGTTTTCATAATATAATTAATTCATGGAGATGGGGTCTTATGGCACCCTTCCCAGACCTAATGGACAAACTTGGGCTTTACACAAAAAGTGCAGCTGCATGTGGGCATTAAATTGCATGTTTCCACTTAGTTATGTAGAGAAGTGTCACGTAACTAAGGAATATACTGTCAGAGGAATTAAAGAATTAAGGTTTAAATCCTGAACACTTTTTGTACATGATTTTCAGTATAACATACTTGATTTATAATAAAAATGTGAAAAGAAATACATGGCATATAACTGTAGTATACTACTAAAAATATTTTTAAGTCCTATGATTTAATAGCAATCAACATGTGCAATTCTTTTAGATATTCTGTTTTAAAATTAGGAACAGCATTTAATAAAATATTTTCTGTTTGATTACACAGTTTTTGCTAAGAATGAGGAAAATAATACAAAATGTAAGAGACTTAATTTTGGACAAGGGACTCAGCATTTCCAAGCTTTTTTAAATCTCAGATATGAAATCGCTCACTCAACTCAGTGACTTTTACCAAAAAAAAAAAGTGCAAATACACTTCTGCTTCAAAGGCAAATTTAAACAGAACAACCCATAGCACATTGTTTCCTGCAGCAGAGACACCCCTTCCTACAAGGGCCTTTATTATGCATGACACAACAAGCAGCACCCATTCAACCTGAGGGAAGCCCACAGGCTCGCAGGGCCACTGGCTGGCTCTTTGTCACCAAATGCAGCAGGTTGAATGCAGACATCACTGTGATATCCTCACCAACAAAACCAGAGGCAAAGAACAGGGGCAAGAGCTGAGTAGGGAAGAAAAAAAAAAAGAAAAAAAAAAGATGAGAACAAATTAAAATATCAAAAATGTTTTCATTCACAAGAAAAAAACCCAATATTTAAAATTTTATAAGACCACCACATGGGACCATAATTCTAAATGCACTTATTTTTGTGTGTTTAACTCATTCTTGCTACCCCATCCCCCAACATTTTTATACATATTACATGGAATTCAGTGAAACCATTTTATATGTTACAAAGTGAGAGGGACTGGACATTTTTATAGGGGGCATTCACAAGCTGCTTTAGATATCCAACTGAGGACAACTTGGGGTAGTAACCTAGTCACAAGTGCAGGGGTACTAAGGAAAAGAAACCTTAGAACCTCAGCTAGATAATAGTAATCCTGCCTGGAACACCCAGGAATGCTGGGCAGATCAAACATGCAGGCTTTTTCTATTTATTTTATTTAAACCAAGATCACACTCCGCAACATTTTTGAATGGTGAATGCTGGAAACCAGTCTTTGCTAAAAATTGTTCTTTTGATGACTTGTTTGAGCAATGTGACATTTCATTGTAATAAACTTGCCAGATAATCTTAAAACCATGGCTTTTCAAAGACAGGAAATAATTCATGTTGTAAACTGTCCATGAGATATATTTAAACAATCTTCCAGCCAGTCCAAATGTAGCAAACAGAGAGATGGCAGTCATGAGATTTTATTTCAGAAGGGTTTAATGCATAAATGCTAATTGTTCCATTCACCCCACAACGGGAAAGAGGAAACACAGCTGCCTTATAACCCAGCCATGTACAGCCACAGCTCACTTCAGAAGATTATGTGATGTGGGACTGGAGCCAACCCCCAGCCAAAGTCGGTACAGAAATGCTCTGGGACTCTCGTGGAAGCAGGATCAGGCCCCTAGTAGCTGTGGAGCAGCAGGGCAGGTCTCCCAGCCTCCTCTCAGTCTCACTCTTTCGTCTGCAGCAGCCCAGGAGCCGTGGGAGTGAGTCCTGCCACGGCCCATGGCAGTGGCTGGGAACGAACCTGCCACGGTCTCGTCCTGAGGAGACTCTCGGAGCAAGGACATTTCTAGAGCACCCCAAACAGGTGCAGACACCCCATCCCTGACAGCATTCAGTGTCAGGCTGGACGGGACTCTAAGCAACCAGATGTAGTTGAAATTGCCCCTGCACATCGCTAGGGGTTGGATTAGGTGGCCTTTAAAGGTCTCTTCCGAGCCAAAGCGTTCTGTGATAATTCCATGACTGTAACAAGGATCCAGCCCCAGCCGTACCCATTACCAAACCTGCCCTCATCCACGCCTCAGCTCGGTCGTAGCCAAACCAAACTCGCTGCGAGGCTCCCGACACTACCGTGCTGCCCGACGGCGGCGGGCGGGCCCTGCGGGGCAGGCAGCCCGGTGAGCGCCATCACACGCACACAAACACGTCCCTGCCGTGGCGGCAGCGCAGCCGCGTGAAAACCAGCGCGAACCCCCTCGCAGCAGGCTGCCAGGAGAACAGAGGGCTGCGCGCAGCCCCGCCGCAACTTCACCCTTGCCCCGCAGCCGGCTCTGTCCCTCAGCCCCGCAGCCGGCTCTGTCCCGCAGCCTGCACTGTCCCTCACCGGCTCTGTCCCTCACCGGCTCTGTCCCTCACCGGCTCTGTCCCTCACCGGCCCTGTCCCGCAGCCTGCACTGTCCCTCACCGCCCTGTCCCTCCCCGGCCCTGTCCCTCCCCGGCTCTGTCCCGCGGCCTCGGGCTGAGGCCGAAGCCGCGCTCCGGCAGCAGAGGCGGTATCGAGCGCCCCCTGTCGGCGGGCAGCCGCAGCGGCCCCTGCCGGTGGCGCCGCCTGGCGGCCGCTGCCCGACACACGCCTGAGAGGCGCCGCACGGACAGCCCAGACGGACACTGCCCCCTGCCCTCCCTCCTCCTCCTCCCTCTTCAGCTGCAAGCATCTTAAGCGAAATTATGCAAAATTCCCGAGAATTATAAAACAGATCCTGGCCTTTTGAAAATGTCAAGTATGTCAGTGTTCAACAAAATGTTATTATATACTCTCACCTATTTATAAAGACATGGAAGATATGCAAGTCATGAGAGTCCAACAAAATATCACTGAGCATCCATGAAAGCACTTTATTGCAGTTAATCTAATTTATTCTTTTATTGCTAATGCCTTGATTGCTATTTCTGTTCACTTTTACATGATAGCAATGCCCAGTAGTTCCAGTGGGAGGAGACCTCCTGGTGCCAGGTACTGCATGCCCACAAACCCTGCTGCAGGAAGCTTACAGACCCCCATAAGAACGGCTTGTGAAGAATCACTAAAGAGAAGTACACTGTCAAACTCATTGCAATTAACGCATTTGGTTTGGAGGTGCTTCACCCCACCTGGCAATTCCATGGGTACAGAGAACAGATTTAGGGAGAATGACAGTAACATTGCAACAGATTCATATCTTCCCTCTGCTCTTTCTGTGGTGCATGCAAGCTTGGCCATAGCCTTTAGCAGGCTCAGGTGCCGTGTTTATGTCTCTAATTTACTTAAAAGGAACAACCAGAGCATGACAAGAATCATAGGAAGAAGTCCACAGAAGGGCAATGTCATTGGTGAAGTGTCTGGAGCACAAGTGTGATTTGGAGTGGCTGAGGAAGCTGGGGTTGGTTAGCCTGAAGAAGGTTGTAGCCAGGTGGGGATCAGCCTCTTCTCCCAGGTAACTAACAGTAGGATGACAGGACATAATCTTAAATTACATCAGGGGAGGTTTAGGTTGGGCATTAAGAAGAAATTCTTCACAGAAAAAGTGATTAGACATTGGAATGGGCTGCTCAAGGAGGTGCCATGGTCTAGTTAACAAGGTGGTGCTCGGTCAAAGGTTGGACTCGATGATCTCAGAGGTCTTTTCCAACCTAAATGATTCTGTGAAAACGCCATCCTGGGAATAGAAGGCTGGTGGTTTAAACTCCCATGCTATACACGCCTAGCCCTCTAGAGGTTAAGCAAAGCCCCCATGCTGGTGCTGGAGGTACCTGCCTGCGCCCCAGGGGACCCCATCTGTACTGGCACAGCTCCTCACCTTGCCAGTGCTAGGGCCAAGTGGCCTGGGAACAGCAGTGCCAACACAGCTGTCACAGGCCTGAGCCACAGTGAGTACTGCAGCACTGCACTTCCACCACACAGACTCACCACCTCCCGTATATTTATTGCAGTACTGCAATATGCCACTCTCCTGTAAGGACAGATGCTACATGAAGAGATCAGAGAAGAACTCACGATTCAGGGAAGGGGATGATGCTTTTACACATCACTGTTTGGGTTTATTTTGGTGGATTGCCCTTTTTTAAAAAACATCTGCTGATTGCTCTGCTGCCTGCAACACCCAGGAGACTATTGGCTCCACCAGTTATCCCTGGGTGTCAGCAGACCCCTTGGAGCCCCTTCACTGTGCTTTATTCTTTAACAGAGTACAACATGGATCTTCTGTCTGTTTGGGTCTCATAAGATGGACACCATGATCAGCAATAACTTGCAAATCTTGTAAGTACAGATAATACAAACACAGCAGTAACTATGTCATTAGCTGAGTTTCAGAAGCAGTTTTCTAGGATATGCATTTAAACTCCAGGGAAGCCTTTCTCTTAGGAGCCTAATGTTGGCAAATATTAAGGAACTACTAGCTTTCAAGAGCCTCTATATTGTTGTGGACATTCGGAAAACACAAGTTTCACCCCGAAATTATTAGCTATAAAGTAACATAGGTGGTCTGTCAAATTTGTCCTTCGGAAATTAAGAACTTTGTATGTACTCAGGTTATGTTTTTTCAACCTCTGTCTGCAACTAGAAAAATTTCTTTGGGTGAAGGACAACTTGAGAGGTTAAATTCTGATATTACCACATCTTGTTTTTAAGAGCAGTAGGGGAAACATCAAGGGTCTTGGGAGCTCGTAACACTACTGGTTTAAATTTTTCCATATTCAGTGTTATTCCTGACAACTCAGGTCCAGAATTCCTAAAATTACATGAGAATCCCAGCTCTCACAAGAAAAAACATGAAGTTTTAGCTCTTTACAAGTAAATTAAAAAAACATCCACAAATTCTTAAGGGAAGGATCAAGGTTTTTTTCTTGCCCCAATAATAAGACCTTAGTAGTGTGAGGTTACTACTTTTTTCCAATTTCCCTTCCCCCAGCCCCAAGTCTCTGGCCTCATTTGGAGGGCAGGAAACAATTAAGAGATAGGCACACACTAGTCAGAGAGCCAGGCTCCCAGGCTCTTGTCAGGAATTCCTGTGTCACTGGAAAAAACAAAGAGCAAAAAAATAGCCACACTGAAGAAAGCCAAACAATGAGAAGTTAGAAAGAAGTAAAGGCCTGAGCCTACTGTACTCAAGTGTTAAATTAACAGTTTAATTTTTATCAGTATTTGTTTTGTAAAGTTTTTTTGTTTTTTTTTCAGTCCAGCAATAACTTTGAACAGTTGTTTTGCAAAGGGTTTGCTTATTTATTTTGACACAAAGCAAACTATAACCTAATGTTTCCCTGACAAAACTTAGTGGATTATTTTGTATATATGTTTATTTCAGTTTTAACATTTGGATATTCTTTTTTTTTTTTTTATTTGGCTTTTGCTCACCTAAAGCTGCTGCCAGTCAGAGTCAGCAGACAGGACAGATCAACCCTCAGGAACTGCAGAAACAAAAGGTGCAGCCTAAAGAGAGAACCACATGAGCAAGTGTTTCAGTAGATCATGTCTTTCTGTGCCTAAACAATTATTTACTCCCTAGTCACTTTTCCTTAACACATTCTGTGCTAACACCAAAGACCTTGGCCTTTCCTGCTCTCTGCACTGCACCTGGTGGCTTTAAGGGACTTTCCTGTTTGCAGGTTTGACGTGGTGTATGCTATGGTGTGGACAAAGGCAATGTTGAATAGCTTGTAAGAGATGTTTAATAAACCATCGTGAAGCTGCCAGCTGTGCCAGGAGACTGGAGTACAGGAAAACTTTCCAGCAGGGGTTGACTGCTGGTTATTTATCAGTGAAAGAAGGAGGGAAGAGTTCCAGTTCCCACTCCAATCCAAGATGTCTAATCCTGAAACTAGCACCCTTTGCAGTGTACAAAGTATTTTCACGCTTATATACCTCATTATCTGGGCTGTCCTAGCCTCCCAACAGCCTGAGAGAACCATGAGGGGGCAGTCTTCAGCCCTCAAAAAACCATGCATTCTATGAATATGCATTTGTGCTTTATAATTATATTTTTAGACAACTGCATGTTTCAATGCACCATACTGCATTTGAAGCATTTGGCAAAAAATAGTAAAGGTAATTGACAAAAGCCTAGGAAAGGATAATTTAGATAAGATATTAGGAAGAAATTATTCACTACGAGAATAATGAGACACTGGAGCAGGTTGCCCAGAAAAGTGGTGAATGTTCCATCCCTGTAAGTCAAGGCCAGGTTGAATAGGGTTCTGAACAACCTGGTCTAGTGGAAGGTGTCCCTGCCCACAACAGGGGTTTTGGAACCAGATGATCTTTAAAGTCCCTTCCAACATAAACCATTCTGTGATTCTATGAAATTTATCTTTAAAGAGAGATTTTGGGCTCTGGATTTTCATGTGCTTGTACATCTATTAAAAATGCAAACCAGGTGTCTTCAAAAGTTTGTGATTTGCTATTTGCTATTAAAATGCCTTGTAAAAGATCACTGTCTGATGAGAATAAAATACTTTAATCATTAACAGCTAGAATAACAAGAAGATAACTATAAATTCAAGCTTCTCAAAGACTTAATGAAGAGAAATAAAGCATTTTAAATGAAATTAATTGCATTAACCTTACAGGTCTACAGAAGTAGTGTAGCATATAACTTGCATGCTTGTCAGCATATACTCCCCCCCAATACAATATTAGCTTCTCAGTTACAGCCACAGAAATCTGAAATATTAGACCTGAATTCCCACTTCACTTTTAAAAGTCTCAGTTAAAGAATGTTCCCCTTAGCTGCTTGTGCTGGAATGTACAAACCAAATGGCAAGTCTGTCTATTTCTAGGAAATTTATATCATGCCCTGATAAAAGAGGTAATTACTGCCATGCCTCATAATATTTGAATGGAACACCAGGAAATGTCAAGGTTTAAACTTGAAGGTAGTACTGTCACTAGAAAGGAGCCTAAACAGTGAAGTTCAAAACCTTTTTATTTTCTTGAATTTTACGTATTCTCTTATACTGGATTTTGTTCTTAAACCCTTCCCAGAGCAACTGAAACTCTAACCCAAAACAACTTCCTGCAAAATGCACATAAGACATTTTCAAGTACCAGCTTGCCCACACGTGCTTTATGTGGGCAAACTGGTACTTGTGGATACTGTCAGATCCAGGTGTTTTAATGGCCCTTACTTACAGGAATCACCATTTGCAAAGCAACCAGACAAGTCACTAACTGTGGAGTCTATTCAGTGTTTCACAGCATGACCTGTAGCAGCTGTCCCTGCACCTGCAGAGCCAGCAGGGCCGGAGGTGGCAGACGCCTGCCTGGGCACAGTGAGCAGGACACACACCACGCTGCGCAAGCTCCAGGGGTGCACAGGGCCCTCCCCGTCCCACGGCTTCCTCAGCATCCTCATGGTGCCCACCAGCCCATCCTCCTGCTCCTGTGAAACAGACCAGTGTATGGATGTTCTGAGGTATCCTTTTCATATTCTAGATGGGAAGCTTCAGCAGCTTCTGTTAATGGTGGGAGAAGGGAGGAAGAAGAAAAGTCTAAAGGTTGAGATCAGACAAAAAACAGAGAAAAACAGGAAAAGAGAATGAGCAAAAATGCTCATCTGCTCACACTGAGTCCCACTCTCTGATACATAACTGACAAGCATCGCCTTACGGGCTAATACCCTCCATACTTTATCCTTAGGATGCATAAAGGTTCCTACTGAGGTGAATCAGAGATATTTTTAGGAGTTCAGCCTTTAGTCTGAGCTTTATTATCAGACATCAGTCATTCATGTAAGAGAGATGAGATTCCCACAACAGGTTTTAGATTATCATACAGCCTAATATTATTACCTTTCCAATAAAATAATCATGAAAAATCTTGGAAAACAAACCAGATTCTGAAATCTCTGCACACAATTCAGCCTAATCTCACAGATTCCAACTGCTGACAAAAAGATATACTATGTGAGGAGGCACTATATATGTGTTTCCATTTGTATTAGAATGATTCTCCAGAATAGAAAAATTATTTATACTTATAAAAGAAAAGCACTACATCTGAGAAGAAAATAAAGACGTCTATTTAATTTTCATCCAATTATCAAATCGAGCTAACATTCTCTCTATCAACAGCTGCCTAAAATAGAAAGCTCACTATCTCTCACAGGAATAAGCCTTTCTGAATGCTGAACTGGCCGCTGCATTGTTCCCCTCTCCCACTAGCAAAAAACCAGTTTGGTAACAATGAGGCTGGTGCGACTAAAGCCCAAGGGTGTGTCCAGGGGCCAAGTTTAAAAAGCCTGAGAAGTGAGAAGATAATCAAAACAAATTGAGTTTTTGAAGTTTTTGTATCCTCCCAAAAAACAACAAGGGGAAAGGCATATTAATGCATCCCTGTTCAGCAACTGGCTCCCATGGACAAGAAAACTGCAGGCTTGATTTCTCCTTATTTTACTACTAACATTTACACACAGCAGAGCAGTGATACTGATCCCCTCTAAACAACCAAAGGATGTGGCCTGTGGAGATGTGGAGAGCATCTATGCTACACTGAATAGGAGCAGAGGAGGGAGGCAATTGTTTCTGCTTTAAGTAATACAGAAGAAGGTTCTTGCTTAAGAGACTCTCACTTGGTCCTTAGGGAGGGTATGGAGATGGAAGGAGATTTCATTAATGTAGAGACAAGACAGCACAAGCCTTGTGAGCAACAGATTAAATGGGAAAAGAAAAACTGCAAAGAGACACAAAAAAGCAGTGTCCCCAAGGAAGGGAAGGAAAAAGACAAGTAAGGAGTCCCCAAGTCTGGGATGAAAGAGAATTCTTGGCTAAGGGCAGAAACCAGTGAGTCTCTCAGTCTAGCAAGTGCTCATACATCTGTCATTTGGAAATTGTTTCCCAATAGTTACGACTACCAATACTTCCCAAAGGAAAGTAAATATGGGTCAACTGGGATTCCCCTCCGCTCCTGCTCCTCCCAGATCTGATGCACTAAAATAGTGCTGAGCTGCACTTTCATTTTCCCTGACTTGGTAGCCTGCCAACATACAGCACATGCCTTTTATGGCAGTGAGTTTATAACTACAACAGTTGTAAACTATTCTTAAATGGGTCTTTTTTGAGAATCACAATCCTTTCAACATCTTGAAAATTTTCTCATTTTTTCTTTTTCCAGGCAGTCCTCTCCAGCACAGTGGTAAAGACTTAATTGCTTCCGGTCCTCAGATGATGAGATACAAGTGTTCTGGAAATAATCTTTTAATTGAACAATTCCTACTGGCAAGTCCAAAAGCTTTTTGTGTTGCACACCAATAAAGGATTCATTCTCAATACTAAAAGAAACAAAAATTTAAAATTTTTGGGTTACTGCTGTGAATAGAACTATGTAAGGGGTACCCTAGCACTCAAAGACATGAAATCAATTTTTTTTTGTTTGATTAGGTATGTCTCCCTCTCCACCATTATTTGCATTGTCAGGCTTACTGATACAGCAGAGATAACAAGCTTTCTATTCTATTTTCAATTTGGGACAAATCCCATGCATCACGTTAAATACAACTTCCTTTTATAGCCATGAACAGAAGACCTTCAACAGAAATTTCTATTCTGCTATTCTGAAACACCTTTGTACTAGCTTTTACTTTTCAATGAAAAAAAAAAAAAAAAAAAAAAAAAAGGACGAATTTTGAAGATTAAACAAACACATCATTTGGAATTGGCATTCTTTTAAATTGTGTTACACATTACTCTATAACTCAGCAGACTTTTTCCTCACCTTATAAAGATGATTTGCCTGGGTAACAATACACAAGAGATACATGACACGAGCAGTTTCTCCTAGGCAGAATATCTTATAAATGAAGCAAAGAGAAAGCCTCCAGCTAACTGGTACGACTTAAGCGGACTTCAAACTAGCACAAGAACACAGTGCACTCTTCTGAAAAGAGCTCGGTCTGGCTGGTTCCAGGGGATGCTGCGAACCGGCCCTGCAGGGCTTTGTTTGCTGAGCGCGCACTCCCGACCCGCAGGGCTCACACGGGCTGCGGGAGCTGCCGCTTCTGCTGCACAGAGAAGCTGAATTCTCAGATATCACAGACCACATACATCTGCTGACTGTAAGGAAATGTACAAATGACACTTACTAGTCCACTGAAGGACACAAAGTCCCTGAACATATCAAAGAGCCCGAAGAGTTGTGATTCCATCCCAAAACTGGATGGTTTTGCCCTCCAGTTTAACGAGTTCTCAGAGTAAAATCTGCACCAGGGAATAAGAACTCCCAACACTCCCTGCCACAGCAGGAAACTAAGGCATCCTCAGTGGATGCCATGGAGTTATTACAGTGTATATAGGAAATTACCAACAATCAGTAGGTCTATTGCCAGCAGATTTTTAAGATGTTTAAAACTCTTTTAATTGAAAAAGTAGTTAGTGCTAATATCTGTCTACGTGTGCATATATGCACCTAATGTGCCTATAGATGCCATGCACCCTGCTAGAAAAATAAAGTTTCAGTGCAGAGAACACCTTTGTCTTGGTTGTGTAACTTCATTCATTCTGCATTCTTCAGCACAAACCATTTGAAAGCTGAATTATCTCCCTCTATTTGTATTATTTCCTACTTCAAAAAACATAGTTTTTATATCAGACTCCGAACCAGACCTGAGTATCTTGTATTTTGTAAAAATGTTTTTAAGTAAAGGGTTTGTAAAATTTAGTTATGATCTCTCTGTCAGATAGCATAACTTCATCTCAGAGCAATTCAGGTGGTGGTTTCTTTTTTTATCATCCCAGCTGCTAGAAAAGCGCTCCGAGTTAAAGACACCATAGCTGCCAATCTCTCCCCAGCAGTCTCCCTTACATGGAAATTTTCCACGTGGCTTTCTCCACAAACCAGTACCGCCGCTCACCACGGAGCGGTG